ATATGTACATCTATGTATTTATTTATGTTGGATCATTAACAAAATTTAATTACTCCTCTTTTAGGTCTTTCGCGCGCTAGCTAATTTGATGGAGCTCGCCAATTACTCCATAACTTTTTACATTTATTGCCTTTTTAGTGAAGATTTCCGAAATACACTTATACGAACCATTAAATGGCCCTGGGTGAGAACGAAATTATGTCATCATGTCGATGAGGTATGTAGGTGGGAAATTGGTAAAAAAATAAATTTAAATAAACACATTACATACATAATCATATAATTTTCAGTTCCTTTTATAAAATCCCTACCAGGTTTTTTATGTACATACATATGTACAATCTGTATATATAACACGCGAAAAGATTTTTTGTCCCACACATCAGATCTGAACCGTTCGTGCGATTGTCAAAACTGGGGTGTCAACTTAAAAGGCTTTGCCTGCAGATGTGCAAACCGGTTTTATTTCTTCTGTTACAAATTAAATTCAACTTATTTAGTAATCAATGCCATCATATTCGCACCTTTAGTGCGATTTTCAAAAATGAGGTGTCAGATTAAATGGCAGGGGCTGTGGATGTACCTTTTCGAAAAGAGTAGCCACCTTTTAAAAAACTAAATTAAAATCAATTTAAATCAAAAGTAAAATCAGTTGGTACAATAACGGTATCCATCTAAATGGTTTTGACAATGTTTTATTTCTTAACTACACGTAGGAGGGTTGCCACCTGTTTAAAAAATTTAATTCAAATTTAACTAAGGGAATTCGGTGTTAGATATATAGAAGGGTTGTCACGTGTTTAGAATACCAAGTTCAGCTGACTTAATAATAATAAGTTAATTGAATAAAATACTTTTGAAGAAGGTTGACACTTCTTTGAAAATTATACACGAGTTATATGAAATATTAAAGTATGATTATCAAACGGAACGGGTCTAGATAAAATATGGTTCACAGATCGCTTATAACTCTGACAAAAATTTGGAATATATTTTAGTTTTTTGAGGAGAATCGCCACCTATTTAAAAAGTTTAAATCAAATGAATTCTTAAATTCATTGAAATATGTATTACAATGTGGGTGTCAAAAGAAAGGGGTTTGAGAAGGTTTTGAAGTGAATATATTTTGAAGAGAGTTGCTACCTGTTTGAAAAGTCGATTTTAAATAAATTTCACAAGATATTTGAACTTAATAATAAAAGTAATAATAATAGTTTGGTCCTTACACAATATGTTAGTGTTTGGCCGAGCTTCTCTTCCGATTGGTGGCGTGCGCATTGATGTTGTCACAGAAAGGAGAGGGATCTACAGTTTTACGGCAGCCTGCTATTTCAAAAAGCTTTTTTATTTTTTTATTTTTTGAGTTGTCACTCAGCATGTCACTACCGGTCCTTCTGCGCTCGTTGGCAAGGTTCACCAAGGCCGTTGATTGCGCGCGTTGGCTCCCTTTTGCCATCCAGCGCCGTCGAAGGCCATTTCCCCTCTGTCGACCGCGAGCATCAAATCCATTAGACGAGCCTCCACAAGCCGCCAATTATTACCCTAAACCAATATCTATATATCTTAATTTTTTCACTTTTTTCTTACAGATATCCAACGCAAGAGCAACACCGTTAATAAATTTTGACAAAATAGCTCTGCGTAACCATCATATAACGACAACGTCTGGAGTTTGTACCGGTATGGGACGTTCGAGTAGCATTTGATGTGTTGCTTGCATAACAATGCAATAGAAATTACATATATCTCTATATAGTACATACATATGTACATACATATGTACATACATACATATATGTTTAAGTAAATAAAAGTAAAATATCAGTAATTACCTAAAACTCTTGAGCTACATGAATGCAACTTTATGTAATGAGAAGTTAACTTTTGAAAAGAATAAAAATTAGATTTAAAATTAATTATACCAAATAAAAAGATAAAAATATACTTAAATTTGTTTGTAAAGCCTTTAGAAAAGAGACATACTTACATACAGTGACGAACAAAAGTATTGGCACAGAGAATTTTTCGGAATGTATGCAAAGTTTTTTATTCATACAACAAAAAAACCAGAAATAAAATATCTACAATTTGTGGAAAACTCAGGAAAATTTAATAAATTTGCAATCGCCAAAAATCAACGTGATTTTTTAGCCACTTTAAGCTTGCACTATGTTAAGCTAAAATTAAATGTTTCTAAAAAATCTGATTTGAAAGTTGCAAATTAGAATGCATATTTATTGAATTTTCCTGAGCTTTGCACAAAGGTAAGATATTTTATTTTTAATGTTTTTTGTTGTAGTATAAGATATGTATATTTTTATAAAACATCAGCGAAAAGAAACCAGAATAAAAAACTTTGCATACATTAAGAAAAATTCTCTGTGTTCGTTACTGTATATTAAATATCAATATTTACTTTTTTTTTAATTTGAAGCGATTAACCTCAAGCCCGATAACCCAAAAATATTTTAAGTTCAAAATTTTACCAAAAAAAGACATAAAATATGTATTAATAAAGTATTTTCCGTTAGAAATAATATGAGTTAAAAAAGTTTCATAATATAAAATTTTCATACAAATTTTTCATTTCGAAATTATTTAAAATTTATTTTAATAATTATAGCTTAAACTATTAATAAAAATACCACAAATTGTTAATTTATCTATGTAAATGTAAATGTTCAATGTAAATACTCTATGTATATGTAAATACATAAATACCAGAAATGTAAAGGTTTATGGGTTAATCCATGGCAAATCGCCCAAATCAAATAGTTGCAATCTACCACTTTTGATTTAACAATTTCCGGTATTTTGCAAGTTTATTAAATATTTCAAAAACTATTATAGATAGATAAATAATTTTGATCTCGATTGAAATCTAATATTTAGGGCCATAAAAAATGTATAACAAATTTAAAAAAAAATATTACAGAATATTTAAATTTAAGAAATTGTTAAAGATTTTAATCAAAAACTCAATAGAAAAAAAAACACTTCTTGAAAACATTAGTGTCTTTTGAGATCTGTTAAAGGTGGTATATAAAAATAAGTTTTTGCTTTTAGGATTTTTTTATTTGAAAAAAAAATTTTGAGTGTAGAAAAAATATAAAGTGCAAAAGAACTACCTTACTAAACAATTTTATTCAGAAAATTCGATTTCTTTTTGGAAAAACCTATTTTTTCTAACATTTATTTTTTTGACAAAGGCGGCCATATAAATTTTCAAGTCGAGAGGCGTGGATTAGGATTTTATTTTAGATACATGGTTTCTTCGGAGAATTTTCTTAGAATTTTATGTAGTTTACGTTTTTGCTATACGATTTAAAAAAAATAACAAATCAACCCGCCCTAATGTGTATACATATACATATGTGCGTACTTAATAATAATTCATTAAATTACGTTGTTAAGTACGTGTTGACTTTT